CATGCAGATATTCTGTATATCTATTTATACATAATATTAGAATTTTATGTGTATCGTATAATGTGTGTGTATGTATACATACAGTTTAATTTTATTATAACATAAAGAGACATTAGTAAATATGAAGTACAGTTACATTTTATATAATAATGTGTGCACATATACATACATAGATCAGTGTACACAAAATATTCTATTATTGCATATAGATGCATAAGTGATACATATGTAATTCTAGAATAATAAATAAATTTGAGTAAAAATTACAAATTTTATAGCCTCCTTAAATCAATACAATAATAAAAGCAATAATTAACAAGGCTTTTGGAGTCAATGCTGGATCTATATATTGCGCAAAAACTAAATAATATCCATTAAACTAAATCATAAACTTATGTACGTTTCGGCTTACTATTTTAGCCATCCTCAGCAATAAAAATTATCGCTTATCGCACTATAAAATCTGTCGAACTGCGTCTCGCACAATCGTAGTTCCGACCTCCAAATATGCAATCGCAGTGGAAATGTGGTGAGATACAACCATCTTCAACATAGTCCAATGTTGTGCCAACCAGTTGCTTAGCTGAGTGGAGTAGATAGTGGAACTCAAGCTGATAATAGCAACGAGATATTTTTGACAAATAGATATCGATTTGTTTAATTAGTGTATGTTAGTCTAAAACTCACCCCATCTCCAACAACGATCACAAGTGGATCCAAGTATCGTCAATCCCTTACAACCATTTAAATATTACAATGTCAAAGTTAGATTGAAAAATAATTTAAGTAACGCAAAAGAACATGTTCGTTCTGATGTGGTCTCTTGTTACTCGTTAAATACAAAGAAAGACGTGTCGCACGAACAAAGCATATCGGTCAATGATAAAAATAAACATATTATAACTTATTGAGAATTTCTATGTATCCATGATTTAAAGCCTCAGTGTCTGTTTGCATGTTGAGACCATTGGGTTGACAATTTATATAGAGCATCTTCGACATAATTCGTTTATTGTAATTTCTCTCCGAATCCAGAATTTTCACATTTTCTCAATCGAAGTCGTGATTGCATCCAACCCTATGCTCCGTGATAACCGAACGAGTGGATGTCACTCTACGGATATGATTACGATGGTCTCCTACTCTCGTGTTTAGTTTTCTCCCCGTTTGACCTACATAAGTAGCATCACAATCACGACATCCTATCTGGTAAACTACATTCCTTTTCTCCCATATGGGCAAAATATCCTTATGTACCCTAATGAATTTATTTAACTTGTTAATACTATAATGTGCCACCCTATAACACATATCATTAATGATTTTACTAAACTTATTAGAAATCCCCTCGATAAAGGGAATTGTGAACCATTTAATATGTTCTTTCTTGACCTTTTCTGTGGAGGCTTTTCCCTTACAGTTGTGTTTTTTTATTAATTGTTTTATCCTTTTATTAAGTGTTTCAAAAATAAATTTTAACGGATAGTCATTTTGTAATAAAATATTGATTATAAAATTAAAATTTCTTGTGTGAAACTATGGATACGAAAGAAAGAACACTTTATCTATCAAGCTCAAAATTGTGCCCTTTTTCTGTGAAATCGGATGCTGAGACCAATAGTTTAAAAATCTACCTGAGAAGGTGGGTTTCCTGTACCAGTCAAATATGAGACCGTCATTTCTGAACATAATAGTAGTGTCCAAAAAATTAATGGCATTCCCACCCACCTCTATCGTAAATTGTAGTCTCGGATGAAATGAGTTAAATCTTTCTAAGATGCCTTCTACCTCAGTCGTGGGTAAACAAAGTACTATGTCATCCACGTACCTGTAATAAAATAGTACAGGAAACTCAATGGTGCTCAGCACCCGACTCTCCAGATCCTGCATAACCATGTCCGCTATAATGGGCGATAATGGTGAGCCCATTGGAGTACCAAATGTCTGCTTATAAATTTGCTTATCGAAAGTGAAGTATGTCGAATCTAGAATTAATTGCACCGCTTTTAAGAATTCCTCTTTCGGAATCTTACAATTTTTTTCAATGTGACCCCATCTATTAGAAAGAGCCTTCATTGCTAATTCCAAGGGCACATTAGTAAACAAGGATACCACATCCAGCGATACTAAACTATAACCTAATTTTATTTTAATATTTTCCAATTTTTTTGTCAAATCATAACTATTTTTTATATAACTTTGTGCCCTTGGTACACTTTCGGTAATCAAATTCTGCGCATACGCGGTCAAGTTATAAAGCGTACTATCAATAGAAATAATGACTCTGAACGGACAACCCTCCTTGTGCACTTTCGGAGATCCGTATGCTCTAGGTAAGTTACCATCGCTACAGTACAGCTTTTTATATATTAAATCAGGAATGAATTTAGATTTTTTCCATCGTGCAAGCAACGTTCTCAAACTATTATTAATTTTATTACTGGGATCTTTTGAACTTTTGGAATATGTCCCCTCATCACTAAGCATAGCCTTAATTTTCTCTATATAAAAGTTCTTCTCTAATGCTACTGTTATGTTGCCCTTGTCAGCCTTGGTAATTATAATGTTTCGGTTATTTTTTAGAAATTGTTGTGTGCATTGTAACAATTTTTTAATCCTACAATTCATCCAATTATTCTTATATTTAAAAGATAGTAAATTATTAATTATTGCTACCGAATGATTTCTGACGTTATTGTGTACTGAACTTTGCATTTTCTTAATGTTGTTTTCTATACTTTTTATGAATTCCATGACCAATGGCTTTCCGCCACTGATTGGAAGTGCGAAATTCTCACCCAGTTGTAATAGATATTGTATGTTAGTAGGTATATCCAACAAAGATAGATTATAAAACCATTTTTTCCTTATGGATGTAACTGTAGGAGTCATCCTATCATTAATAAACAATCTCGGAGAAATCTTTATGCCTACCGCATTCGGATTGTTCAAGGAAGACAAAGGCAAATTCTCATAGACAAACTTATTACTGTTATTGGGCTTGTTGTCATCTCCCGGTAACCAAACATATTCCAATACTTTCATGTTCTCATTATTCTTTATCTCTTCTTTTTTATTCAACCAGGCCATTTTTTGTCTATTCTTTTTTTATTATTAATGTAATACTTGTGCAACTTTTGATTCTGAGATTCAAAGAATTTACTTAAAATATTCATAGGCAATTCATTAGAAATACTGCGTACAAGATGGAAAATTTTATTTTTTGAAATCTCAATCGACCTATACGAGTCTTTTAATTGTAATTTTAGTCAGGTATTTGGAATGTATGTTATGAATTTAATGAAAGGATGGATCAAACATCGAAAATCGATCTACAGAAACAAGAACAGAATTATGTTTATAAAATATTGTATAGAATGTAGGTTAGTGCCTCCGCATCTTTACAAAATTTCAAAGTTTGCTCCAGCCTTTGACTCGCGAGATACTACAATGACAAGATTCAAGAATATTAGACAAGATTTCATCAAAAAAATTCTAAAATTACAATTCTAAAATCTCTGATATATTCCTTTTCTTTCGACGCAATCTTATCATATGTACAGCCCGGTATGCTGTCGTATACATGAAGTTTCGTTCCGTCGAAAAAGATACAACGCCAGTGATTCGTACAATTTCCGCCAATTATTTGTACACTGATTACGACTGGCTGCAATCAAGTCTGGATACTCTATATACTGTACGCTTTGTGTTTCAAAACAAAATGTTTCTCTCACAACGCGTAAGAATAGATCCAATGACTCGTCGTTTAATTTACTATATATTTGGACAAGATATTATCTTTTACGTCATAATTTCAATAATAGTATCATCTAATACTTTTTTGCGATTTGCAATATCTTTTGCTGTCAGATTTTCTTTTATCGAATGACCGGCTATAATACAATCCTCTTCTTCCGAAACAGCAGGACCAACAGAAGCAGTAGTAATTGTCTCTGTTGGGATCTCATTCTGTTTCAATTTTTTAATGTCTTGCGAAAACTGTTCATTTGTACAAGTTGTCGCTGTATGTTGTCGTTTAGTGTTTCGACTAGCTGTTTGTGCTTCAATAATGTATTGTGGCTCTCTGATAAGCATGTTTCTATTATGCCGACTATCCACAATTTCAGGAAGCATACATTCTAAGTAAAAACGTGTTAAAAAAGGTAACATTTTATTTTTCCAAAAATCAATGTCTCTATCAACACGTACCGTTTTGACACTTTTTGGCGTCCATATTGCGAAAATGCAATATTTTCGCTGTGTTTTGTTTAACTGTCCTTGTACTTGATAAAAATAATGGTGATTTTTATTCATTTTGTTTCCATTTTTTTTATCAAACATACTTTTTAGTCGAGACAGTGTTTCTACAGCCTCCTCCGCTGATAAATTCTCAGCTGATAGAGGACATTTGATCTCCACTAGACCATCTTCATCGAGAAGTCCATCGGGAGTAGCACCCAACCACGGATTGTCACGATCTATGAACAATCCACATGGTTTAATTTGTTTCTTTAATTGTACAGCTAAATCTTGTTTCGCCATTTCTTCCATATCACGGCCATATTTTATGGCTGCGGTATCAATAAATGGAGGAAACAAAATATTTTTTACGGTTGTTGCACAAGACGTTGTTGATCTCATACGACATACGATTCCGAAATTTGACGCTGTCAACATTCCGTTCCTCGTTACTTTCCATAATTCACAATTACTTTGGTCCTTCGTATCGTGTTCAATTTGTTTCCAGTTTCTTGCGTTTTCAGCTAATTTTTCTAAATGCTCTTTCTTATATTCTTCTAATATATTAGGTGTATAGTCTAGTCGTTGCGATTTTTGTCCATAATGACGATCTGTTCCTATTTCTTTATTCGACTTCTTTTCTCTTCCTTCTCTTTGTCGATATTCTCTGGTTCGAACAACTTTTTCCTGTCGTCGATTTTTCAGATTCTTTATAGTTGAAGGAACAGTCGTTTTGCATACACTTTCATGTAATTGCGTGAGAACTTGTTGTGTATTATGTTGTAATACAGCTCCCGCAATTCTAGCGTTGTAGGAACCTCGTGCACCGAAGTTAATGCGCTTTCCGCCAATTTCTTTGCAGATTATCGAATTAAACGACTCTGCAGGATTGTTTGTTAAATTGAGTAACAAACTATCGGAATAAGCGGCTAAATGTTTTATAGCATTTTCTATTTTTTGGTAAAGGCCACACAATTTGAGAAACCGTACATGATTTGGTCCTTTTGTATTAGCATTCTCTGTGCATGTGCCACCAAGTTCCTTACATCGTTTATGTTCACCAAACACGTGGCTAGGAATATTGAGTACATCTTTTTGTAATTCCATAGCAGCACAATGTTGAGGCTGTTTCTTTTCTCTTCGCATAGCAGCTGCCTCTAAAACTGCTTTCCGAATCTTTTTTATGTTGTTCTTCACAACATTTCGGTATCTTATATAAAAACGGTTTCTACGCATCTTTGGCTCAGTCGTTTCTGAGATGACTTTCAATTTTTTGCATAGATTGCGAAGCAAATGATTTGTGCATTCTATTTTGCTCACTGTTGTCATTTGCTCCTGATACGGTCTATTATCAATAATGGATTTAAATACGTTACTATCACCATCGGCGATGACCGTTCTAAATATCAATCCATGCATTTCAATGCTATTTTTAAACCCTTCAACAATAGCATCACTCTCCATACTTGTAGAG